AACAAAAAAAAAAAAAAAAAAAAAAGTTAAATATATTTCCTTAAAAAAATATATAACAAGGGCTGGGGATTTAGCTCAGTGGTTCCGCTGCCTGCCTCACAAGTGCAAGGACCCGAGTTCGACCCCTGGTACCAAAATTATATATATCTATATATATATAGATATATATAGATATATATAACAAATGCGTTTTTTAAACTATGAAAGTAATGTGAAGGGCTGGGGATTTAGCTCAGTGTTTCCACCGCCTGCCTCGCCAGTGCAAGGACCCAAACAAACAAACAAACAAAAAAAAGTAATGTGAACATGATAAAATATTCAAAAGTATGTAAAATTATAATATAAAAAGTAAAATTTTAAAGGATCAGTACCCAGACTATATACAGAGCTCATAAAACTCCACACCTAAACAAAAACAAAAACATAATCCAATTTAAGAAAAAAAGGACAAAGGACTTGAAAAGACATTTTTTTCCCAAAGAAGATGTACAAAACAGTTGATAGCATTATTACTCAGTATCACTAGTCATTACAGAAACACAAATAAAAACCACAGTGTGGGCCAGGGATTTAGCTCAGTGGTGCCACCACCTGCCTCACAAGCACAAGGTCCAGAGTTCAATCCCCAGTACCAAAAAAATAAAACAAGTGAGATGCCACTTCACACCCACTAGGATGGCTACTACAAAAACAAGAAGTCTTGGCAAGATGGGGAGAAACTAGGGCCCTTGTGCATTGTTGGTGGGAATGCGAAATGGTGTAGCCACTGTGGAAAAGCTTGGCAGCTTATCAAAAAGTCAAATGTGGCCAGGTACGGTGGCACGCGCCTCTAATCCCAGCAGTCCAGGAGGCTGAGATAGGAGGATCAGCAAATTTAAACCCAGCCTGGGCAACTCCGTGATACATCATGAATCAACTTGAAAACATGAGGCTGGAGCCGGGGGAGTAGAGAACACGTTTAGCATGCACAAGCCCACAGGTTCAGTCTCCAGGCATGAAAAACAAAAGGCCAGTTATAAAAAGGCAAATACTGTATGATTCTACTCACCTGAATTGTCCTACTCAGACTCAGACTCACACTCAGACTCAGAAGGCAAAGATTATGAGGGACTAGAGAGAGTGGTGGGAAGGGAAGACTGTTTTATGGGTGTTAAGAGTTTCAGTTTGGGATGCTGAAAAAGTTCTAGAGATCAGTAAGGATGATGCATGTGCAACATTTCGAATGTGCTCGGTGATGCTGAATGGTTTATTTTTAAATGTTTGAAATAGTAAATGTTAATGCATAGTTTTAACACAGAGCAGATCTGATGTGGGACAGTAAAATGGAACAAGTCTTTGAGAAACAGCTTAGTGATATGTTCTGAAACATTCCCCAGGGCCCAGCAATTCTGCTCCAATGTACAGACTCTACCGAAGTACATTCACCAAAAGACACGTACTGTTCACAGCCCCACAACTCACAACAGTGAATCATAGAAATAGCAAATGTTTGTCAAGGCGGGATGGAGAGAAACACTGTGGTAGAGTCACTGAGTGAAATGAACAAGGGCAAATCTAATAAACATGAGGTTGGACAGCAGAAACCAGATATAAGAGGACCCACATACTGTCAGGGAAGAAAGAAATACAGTTTCTCCTAAACTCTCAAGTATTTGTAGACCAAGAGTCCCCATGACAAAAACTAGTAAACAACAGGCCAGCCAGAGATTTAGCTCAGTGATTCAGCCGCCTGCCTCACAAGCACAAGGTCCTGAGTTCGATCCCCGGTATCAAAAAAAGCAAAACAAAACCGTAAACAAGAGAAAAACAGCATCACATGGGAGAAACCTCAGTGAGAGGTAACTCAAAGCAGTGTGGTTTAGGACTCGCTTCCAGAGGCAGGAAACTGTGGGAAGGTAAACTAACTAATGGAGTGAGATTTGTTTGCAGACCCCAATGGTGCCCTGTCTGTGCTGATAAAGAGTGGCCTCCACAGTAGAGGAGAATGTATATCCTGTGTTTAGGTGGCAAGCAGGGAGGGTAGAAAGAGTTCTTCCTCCATTTGCTGCTTCTTAACTGCTTTTGGTTAAAAATATTTATGTCAAAGATACATATTTGGGATTGACACATTCTGGATTCCATTAGGATGATTCCATTGGTGTAAAGTTCAAAAACAGGGAAAACTTATCTAGGTAAAAGGAGAAAAGACATTGCCCATCCTTTGGAGAGCAGTTTTGAATGGAAGGGAAGGGGCAGAGGGGCTGAAAGAACAAAAAGAGCTGCCTTCAGCTCCCCAGAACCCAGTGCCAGGTCTCCCCCCCCCCTCTCTCACGCACGCGCACACACACACACACACACACACACAGGTAGGATCCTCTGTGGGAAGGCTGGAATGAAAGAGAAGATTGCTTAGAGACCAGCCTGCTTCCTTGACGACATTCCCACTGAGGAGTCTGGGGCTGTGACATGTTTGACCAGTGGGAGGAAAGGAAAAAGGGCCTGATTCAGCTCCAGAGAGTCACAGGGGGCCCCCCCGAGATCCCCAGGGTGGCCATGCCCTTTACCTCTAGCACACAGCTCTGTTAGCCTCATCTTCTGATGAATGTGGTTTTGCCTTAAGTCTAGAAGGATCAGGAATGATATGTGACAAATGTTAAATATAGGGCAAAATTAAATAGGGCACTCTGCATGGTTTGTTCATCCAGCTGTGCAAAGTAATATTTACAATAGTTTTTAAATTATATAGGAAAATTCTTATGCTATGAAGATTAAAAATATGCAGAATGCAGAACTACATATTGTATGTGTAACTACGCACTGAGAAAAGGCTGGAAGAATGAATCTTCCCAATGACTACAACTTATTCTCCAGTTTGGCTGGGTCATGACTACCAGTTAAAAACTTATTTTCTTCAGCTGGGCGTCGTGGCGCACGCCTGTAATCCCAGCACTCGGGAGGCTGAGGCAGGAGGATGGCTGTGAGTTCGAGACCAGCCTGGGCTACACAGTGAGTTCCAGGTCAGTCTCAAGTATATAGTGAGACCCTGTCTCAAAAACCAAGAAAACAAAAGAACAACAACAACAAAAAAAAAAAAAAAAAAAGAAGTTTTTTTTTTGTTGTTGTTGTTCTTTTGTTTTCTTGGTTTTTGAGACAGGGTCTCACTATATACTTGAGACTGACCTGGAACTCACTGTGTAGCCCAGGCTGGTCTCGAACTCACAGCCATCCTCCTGCCTCAGCCTCCCGAGTGCTGGGATTACAGGCATGCGCCACCACGTCCAACTCAAAACTTATTTTCTTAACTTTTATGTGGGCCTAAATTTTCTCTTGTCATGAATTCTTGGATGCACCCACCTGATTACTATGTTCGAGTCCTAACCTCAAGTACCTCACAACGTGACTATGCTTGAAGATAGGGTCTTAAAAGAGGTTAATTATGTCAACATGAGGTCATGAGGGTGGGCCCTAACCTACTATTACTGTCCTCTGAGAGGAAACTTGGATAGACTCTGCAAAGGAAAGACTGGGTGAAGACAGAAGAAAATGGGCCATCTACAAGCCAAGGAGAGAGAGAGGTGTGAGAATCCTTCCCACACCTTCATCTTGGACTTTTACCCTCTAGAATTGTGAGAAAATAAATTTTTGTCTAAGCCACTCATCCGGGGTACTTTTCACAGCAGTGCTAGTGGTGGTTTACTTTTAACTCTCGGTCTCCCTCAATGAGCTCTCCAATCCTCTCTTACCAGGTTAGGCACCAGGAGTCTAAGGACTCCTCTGTTACCCAGAAGCCTTAAGACCCCAAATTTTATGCACCAGTAACCCAGAAATCCTCTTCCTGC